GGAGACGAAGTGTGATGGGACCAGAAGTGTGAACAGGAAGTGTATTGAGAGCAGAAGTGTCAGGAGAAGAAGTGTGATGGGACCAGAAGTGTGAACAGGAAGTGTATTGAGAACAGAAGTGCCGGGAGAAGAAGTGTGATGGGACCAGAAGTGTGAACAGGAAGTGTATTGAGAGCAGAAGTGTCAGGAGACGAAGTGTGATGGGACCAGAAGTGTGAACAGGAAGTGTATTAAGAGCAGAAGTGCCGGGAGACGAAGTGTGAACAGGAAGTGTATTGAGAGCAGAAGTGTCAGGAGACGAAGTGTGATGGGACCAGAAGTGTGAACAGGAAGTGTATTGAGAGCAGAAGTGTCAGGAGAAGTGTGATGGGACCAGAAGTGTGAACAGGAAGTGTATTGAGAGCAGAAGTGTCAGGAGACGAAGTGTGATGGGACCAGAAGTGTGAACAGGAAGTGTATTGAGAGCAGAAGTGTCAGGAGACGAAGTGTGATGGGACCAGAAGTGTGAACAGGAAGTGTATTGAGAGCAGAAGTGCCGGGAGACGAAGTGTGAAGGACGAAGTGTGAACAGGAAGTGTATTGAGAGCAGAAGTGTCAGGAGACGAAGTGTGATGGGACCAGAAGTGTGAGCAGGAAGTGTATTGAGAGCAGAAGTGCCGGAAGACGAAGTGTGAAGGACGAAGTGTGAACAGGAAGTGTATTGAGAGCAGAAGTGTCAGGAGACGAAGCGTGAAGGACGAAGTGTGATGGGACCAGAAGTGTGAGCAGGAAGTGTATTGAGAGCAGAAGTGTCAGGAGACGAAGCGTGATGGGACCAGAAGTGTGAACAGGAAGTGTATTGAGAGCAGAAGTGTCAGGAGACGAAGTGTGAACAGGAAGTGTATTGAGACCAGAAGTGTCAATAGACGTGTGATGGGACCAGAAGTGTGAACAGGAAGTGTATTGAGAGCAGAAGTGTCAGGAGAAGAAGTGTGATGGGCCCGGAAGTGTGAACAGGAAGTGTATTGAGAGCAGAAGTGTCAGGAGACGAAGTGTGATGGGCCCAGAAGTGTGAACAGGAAGTGTTGAGAGCAGAAGTGTCAGGAGACGAAGTGTGATGGGCCCAGAAGTGTGAAAGGAAGTGTATTGAGAGCAGAAGTGTCAGGAGACGAAGTGTGATGGAACCAGAAGTGTGAACAGGAAGTGTATTGAAGCAGAAGTGCCGGAAAACGAAGTGTGAAGGGAAACGAGAGAACTGTAAGTAGGAGAAAAAGTGTGAAGGGACTTAGTGAGCGCAGAAAGATGGTGGAATATGTACACCGAGAAGTGTAGGTAGCGAACATGATTGTGCAGGGGAAAGTGTGAAAGGAGCACGAAGTGTGCAGGACGAAGTGTGATGGGACCAGAAGTGTGAACAGTAAGTGTATTGAGAGCAGAAGTGTCAGGAGACGAAGTGTGACAGGAAGTGTATTGAGAGCAGAAGTGCCGAGAGACGAAGTGTGAAGAACAAGTGTGAACAGAAGTGTATGGAGAACAGAAGTGTCAGGAGACGAAGTGTGATGGACCAGAAGTGTGAACAGGAAGTGTATTGAGAGCAGAAGTGCCGAGAGACGAAGTGTGAGAACGAAGTGTGAACAGGAAGTGTATTGAGAACAGAAGTGTCAGGAGACGAAGTGTGATGGGACTAGAAGTGTAACAGGAAGTGTATTGAGAGCAGAAGTGTCAGGAGAAGAAGTGTGATGGGACCAGAAGTGTGAACAGGAAGTGTATTGAGAGCAGAAGTGTCAGGAGACGAAGTGTGAAGGACGAAGTGTGAACAGGAAGTGTATTGAGAGCAGAAGTGTCAGGAGAAGAAGTGTGATGGGACCAGAAGTGTGAACAGGAAGTGTATTGAGAGCAGAAGTGTCAGGAGAAGAAGTGTGATGGGACCAGAAGTGTGAACAGGAAGTGTATTGAGAGCAGAAGTGCCGGGAGACGAAGTGTGAAGGACGAAGTGTGAACAGGAAGTGTATTGAGAGCAGAAGTGTCAGGAGACGAAGGAGGACGAAGTGTGATGGGACCAAAGTGTGAACAGGAAGTGTATTGAGAGCAGAAGTGTCAGGAGAAGAAGTGTGAAGGACGAAGTGTGATGGGACCAGAAGTGTGAGCAGGAAGTGTATTGAGAGCAGAAGTGTCAGGAGAGAAGTGTGATGGGACCAGAAGTGTGAACAGGAAGTGTATTGAGAGCAGAAGTGTCAGGAGAAGAAGTGTGATGGGACCAGAAGTGTGAACAGGAAGTGTATTGAGAGCAGAAGTGCCGGGAGACGAAGTGTGAAGGACGAAGTGTGAACAGGAAGTGTATTGAGAGCAGAAGTGTCAGGAGACGAAGTGTGAAGGACGAAGTGTGATGGGACCAGAAGTGTGAGCAGGAAGTGTATTGAGAGCAGAAGTGCCGGGAGACGAAGTGTGAAGGACGAAGTGTGAACAGGAAGTGTGTTTGAGAGCAGAAGTGTCAGGAGACGAAGTGAAGGACGAAGTGTGATGGGACCAGAAGTGTGAGCAGGAAGTGTATTGAGAGCAGAAGTGTCAGGAGACGAAGTGTGAAGGACGAAGTGTGAACAGGAAGTGTATTGAGAGCAGAAGTGTCAGGAGAAGAAGTGTGATGGGACCAGAAGTGTGAACAGGAAGTGTATTGAGAGCAGAAGTGTCAGGAGAGAAGTGTGATGGGACCAGAAGTGTGAGCAGGAAGTGTATTGAGAGCAGAAGTGTCAGGAGACGAATGTGAGGACGAAGTGTGAACAGGAATGTATTGAGCACAAGTGTCAGGAACGAAGTGTGATGGGACCAGAAGTGTGAACAGGAAGTGTATTGAGAGCAGAAGTGTCAGGAGAAGAAGTGTGATGGGACCAGAAGTGTGAACAGGAAGTGTATTGAGAGCAGAAGTGTCAGGAGACGAAGTGTGATGGGACCAGAAGTGTGAACAGGAAGTGTATTGAGAGCAGAAGTGTCAGGAGACGAAGTGTGAAGGACGAAGTGTGAACAGGAAGTGTATTGAGAGCAGAAGTGTCAGGAGACGAAGTGTGATGGACCAGAAGTGTGAACAGGAAGTGTATTGAGAGCAGAAGTGTCAGGAGACGAAGTGTGATGGACAGAAGTGTGAACAGGAAGTGTATTGAGAGCAGAAGTGTGAACAGAAGTGTGAACAGGAAGTGTATTGAGAGCAGAAGTGTCAGGAGACGAAGTGTGATGGGACCAGAAGTGTGAACAGGAAGTGTATTGAGAGCAGAAGTGTCAGGAGAGAAGTGTGATGGGACCAGAAGTGTGAACAGGAAGTGTATTGAGAGCAGAAGTGTCAGGAAGAAGTGTGATGGACCAGAAGTGTGAACAGGAAGTGTATTGAGAGCAGAAGTGTCAGGAGACGAAGTGTGAAGGACGAAGTGTGAACAGGAAGTGTATTGAGAGCAGAAGTGTCAGGAGACGAAGTGTGAAGGACGAAGTGTGAACAGGAAGTGTATTGAGAGCAGAAGTGTCAGGAGAAGAAGTGTGATGGGACCAGAAGTGTGAACAGGAAGTGTATTGAGAGCAGAAGTGTCAGGAGACGAAGTGTGATGGGACAGAATGTGAACAGGAAGTGTATTGAGAGCAGAAGTGTCAGGAGACGAAGTGTGATGGGACCAGAAGTGTGAACAGGAAGTGTATTGAGAGCAGAAGTGTCAGGAGACGAAGTGTGATGGGACCAGAAGTGTGAACAGGAAGTGTATTGAGAGCAGAAGTGTCAGGAGACGAAGTGTGATGGGACCAGAAGTGTGAACAGAAGTGTATTGAGAGCAGAAGTGTCAGGAGACGAAGTGTGATGGGACAGAAGTGTGAACAGGAAGTGTATTGAGAGCAGAAGTGTCAGGAGACGAAGTGTGATGGGACCAGAAGTGTGAACAGGAAGTGTATTGAGAGCAGAAGTGTCAGGAGAAGAAGTGTGATGGGACCAGAAGTGTGAACAGGAAGTGTATTGAGAGCAGAAGTGTCAGGAGAAGAAGTGTGATGGGACCAGAAGTGTGAACAGGAAGTGTATTGAGAGCAGAAGTGTCAGGAGAAGAAGTGTGATGGGACCAGAAGTGTGAACAGGAAGTGTATTGAGAGCAGAAGTGTCAGGAGAAGAAGTGTGATGGGACCAGAAGTGTGAACAGGAAGTGTATTGAGAGCAGAAGTGTCAGGAGAAGAAGTGTGATGGACCAGAAGTGTGAACAGGAAGTGTATTGAGAGCAGAAGTGTCAGGAGACGAAGTGTGATGGACCAGAAGTGTGAACAGGAAGTGTATTGAGAGCAGAAGTGTCAGGAGACGAAGTGTGATGGGACCAGAAGTGTGAACAGGAAGTGTATTGAGAGCAGAAGTGCCAGGAGAAGAAGTGTGATGGGACCAGAAGTGTGAACAGGAAGTGTATTGAGAGCAGAAGTGGGAGACGAAGTGTGATGGGACCAGAAGTGTGAACAGGAAGTGTATTGAGAGCAGAAGTGTCAGGAGAGAAGTGTGATGGGACCAGAAGTGTGAACAGGAAGTGTATTGAGAGCAGAAGTGTCAGGAGAAGAAGTGTGATGGGACCAGAAGTGTGAACAGGAAGTGTATTGAGAGCAGAAGTGTCAGGAGAGAAGTGTGAGACGAAGTGTGATGGGACCAGAAGTGTGAACAGGAAGTGTATTGAGAGCAGAAGTGCCGCGAGACGAAGTGTGATGGGACCAGAAGTGTGAACAGGAAGTGTATTGAGAGCAGAAGTGTCAGGAGAAGTGTGATGGGACCAGAAGTGTGAACAGGAAGTGTATTGAGAGCAGAAGTGTAAGGAGACGAAGTGTGAGGACAGAGTGTGAACAGGAAGTGTATTGAGAGCAGAAGTTGCCAGAGACGAAGTGTGAAGGCGAAGTGTGATGGGACCAGAAGTGTGAACAGGAAGTGTATTGAGAGCAGAAGTGCCGGGAGACGAAGTGTGAAGCACGAAGTGTGATGAGACCAGTGGAAGTATGAAAGAAAAGTGTGATGGAGAGGGGGGAGGGGGAGCAGATGCAAGAAGAGGGAGTTTAAAAAGTGTGAGAGGGAAGTGTAGAGAAGCGGAGGAGTGAAGTGTAAAAGTGTTATTACAAAGGGTATTGAAAGCTGGAGTGTCGAGAAACGACGTGTAAGGTAAAAAGTGTGAATAGAAAGTGTATCGAAAACAAGTGTGCAGAAGCGGAAGTGTGAAGGAAATAAGAGTAAATAGAAAGTTTACTGAGAGCAGAAGTGTGCAGGGAAGTGTGTGACTGGAGAAAGAGTGTGAAAGGAAAAGTGTCGGGGAGGATAAGTGTGAAGAGGAAGTGCAATCTGCATTGATGGCAGAAGTTTGGTGAAGTGTATAGGAAAATCCGTGAAGTGAACAGAAACAGAGAGTATATTGAAGGCAGAAGTGTGGATAGGCGGAAGTGTGATAAGAAGGTGTGATGGAAGATGGGTAAATAAGAAGTGTACTAAGAGAAGAAGTGTGGAGAAGCGGAAGTGTGAAGGAAAAGATGTGACGTGAAAAGAAGTGTGCATAGAAAGTATACTGAGGGTAGGATAAGCGTGAAGTGAGTTTTAGAAGGGAAGTAGAAGTGAGGGGGAAAGAAGTGTGAAGTACGTGGGAATTCGGGTAACGGGGGGGGGGGGTCTGTAGGGAGAAGTGTGAGGAAAGATGTGGGGGGGTTAAAAAGTTGTGAGGGAGTATGAAAGGCTGAGTAAAAGTGAGGGAAGCGTAAGTGTGATGGGAGAAGTGTGAACAGTAACTTTACTGAGAACAGAAGTGTCGGGAAAGGAAGTGTTAAAAGTGTGACGGGAGCAGAAGTGTAAATAAGTGTATTGAGAGCAGAAGTGTGAAGTGGAAGCGTGAAAGAAAAGTGTGACGGAAGCAGAAGTGTGAATAGAAAGTCCATTGAGAGCAAAAGTGTGAATAGAGACTTTATTGCAAGAAGTGTTGGGAAGCGAAGTGTAAAGGACAAAGTGTGATAAATGAAGAAGTGTAAACACAGACAGTGTATTGAGAGCAGAAGTGTAAAATAGCGGAAATGAGAAGTGAAAACTTAGGAATAAGTATGAAGTGAAATGTGATGGAAGCAAGAGTATGAAAAGGCAAGTGTAAGGAAATAGAAGTGAAGGGAAACAGAAGAAGTGTGACGCAAGGACCAACAGACAAGGGAAGTGTTGACGGACTGTGATGAAGTGTGGAAGTGTAGAAACGTAAGGAAACAGAAGTGTGGATCAGCAGAAGTGTGAGAGAATAAAAGAGTAGAAGTAAAGAGATCCTGAAGTGTGGAAGCAGGAGTATGACGGGGTGAGAGGAGACGAAGTGTGAAGTGTGGGAAGCGGAAGTGTGAGGAGGAGAGCCGAAGTGCGGTTGAAGTGAGCTGAAGTGAGCGGAAGAGGGAAGCAAAGGTGGTTGGTTCGGGGACAAGGATTGTGAGAGGAAAAAAGTTATGAGGAAAACAGCAGTATGAGGAGATGTAAGGAAGTGAAGAAAAAGAAGTGTGAGGAATGAGAAGTATGAGGAAGTGGGAGTCTGGAGGTTTAAACGTTTGAGGGAAAAGTATTTAGGAATAAGTATGAAGTGAAGAGTGATGGAAGCAAGAGTATGAAAAGAGGCAAAGTGTGAGGGCTAAATAGAAGTGTGGGAAAACAGGAGTGTGAGTGAAGAAGTGTGACTCAAGGACCAAAGACAAGGAAGTGTTGACGCGGAAGTGTGGAAGGTGCAAAAGTGTGCTAGAGGAAAAAAAGTGGGGGAGTGAGGCAACAGAAAGGTATAAAAGAGGCAAAGAAGTGTGGGTGTTGGGTTAAGAAGAGTGTGAAGAGAACTGAAGTTAAGAGAGAGAGAGAAGTGTGAGGCAATGAAGTGTAGAAACAAAAAAAAATGTGGGTGTGAGGGAGGCTGGAGTATATAGTATGGAGAAAGAAGTGTGAGCAAGCAGAAGTGTGAGGAACATGAAGTGTAAGTGGAGAGGAAGTGTGAGGGGAGAAGTGAAGGCAACAGAGGTGTGGAAAAGAAGTGTAAGGGAGGAGACGGAGTGAGGGGAAGGAGAAGNAAGCACGAAGTGTGATGAGACCAGTGGAAGTATGAAAAAGTGTGATGGGCAGGGGGGAGGGGGGAGAAGATGCAAGAAGAGGGAGTTTAATAAGTGTGAGAGAAGCTGAAGTAAGGAGGAAAAGGATTGAGACTAGAAGTGAGGTGAGGCGGAAGTGTGAGGGGAAAAGTGTCATGGGAGTAGATGTGTGAACAGAAAAGTGTGTTGAGAGTAGGAGTGTGCAGTGTCGGAAAGCGCAGTATGATGAGAGAAGTGTAGAGAAGCGGTGGAGTGAAGTGTAAAAGTGTGATTACAAAGGGTATTGATAGCTGAAGTGTCGGCAAATGAAGTGTGAAGGAAAAAAGTGTGATGGAACCAGAAGTGTGACTAGAAAGTGAATTAAAAACAGAAGTGTACAGAAGCGAAACTGTGAAGGAAAAAAGAGTGAATAGAAAGTTTACTGAGAGCAGAAATGTGCAGGGAAGTGTGTGACTGTAGAGAGAGTGTGAAAGGAAAAGTGTCGGGGAGGATAAGTGTGAAGTGTAACAGAAAAAGTGCAGTGTGTATTGAGAGCAGAAATTTGGTGAATTGTATAGGAAAATCCGTGAAGTGATCAGAAACAGAGAGTGTATTGAAGACAGAAGTGTGGATAAGCGTAAGTGTGATAAGAGTGTGATGGAAGATGGGTAAATAGGAAGTATACTAAGAGAAAAAGTGTGGAGAAGCGGAAGTGTGAAGGAAAAGATGTGACGGGAAAAGAAGTGTGCATAGAAAGTATACTGAGGGTAGGATAAGTGTGAAGTGAGGTTTAAAAGTGAGGGGGAAAGAAGTGTGAAATAGGTGGGAATTCGGGTAAGCGGGGGGGGGGGGTCTGTAGGGAGAGGTGTGGGAGATGTGGAGGGGGGGGTTAAAAAGTGTGTGGGAGTATGAAGGGCAGAGTAGAAGTGAGGGGAAGCGGAAGTGTGATAGGAGAAGTGTGAACAGTAACTTTCCTGAGAACAGAAGTGTCGGGAAAGGAAGTGTTAAAAGTGTGATGGGAGCAGAAGTGTGAAGTGGAAGTGTGAAAGAAAAGTGTGACGGAAGCAGTGTGAATAGAAAGTCCATTGAGAGCAAAAGTGTGAATAGAGACTTTATTGCAAGAAGTGTGGGTGTGGGGGAAGGAAGAGTGAGAACTGAAGTTAAGAGAAGGAGAAGTGTGCGGCAATGAAGTGTAGAAACAAAAGAAATGTGGGTGTGAGGGGAGGCTGGAGTATATAGTATGGAGAAAGTGTGAGCAAGCATAAGTGTGAGGAACATGAAGTGTAAGGGGAAGCGGAAGTGTGAGGGGAGAAGTGTAGGCAAACAGAGGTGTGGAGAAGTATAAGGGGAGGGAGACGGAGTGAGGGGAAGGAGAAGTGTGAGGAGAAGATAAATAAGTGTGACTAGCTAGGAAAAAGTGTGATAAAAAGCGAACAGTGAGGGGACCAGCATACAGTGTGCGAGGAGCAGTAGTGTGAGAGATGTGAAGGAAGCTAAGTGTGAGAGTGAGAGATGTGAAGGAAGCTTAAGTGTGAGAGTGAGAGATGTGAAGGAAGCCTAAGTGTGAGAGTGAGAGATGTGAAGGAAGTTTAAGTGTGAGAGTGAGAGATGTGAAGGAAGGTCTAGTGTGAGACCGAGAGATGTGAAGGAAGATCTAGTGCGAAAGTGTGAGAGTGAGAGATGTGAAGGAAGATCTAGTGTGAGAGAGAGATGTGAAGGAAGCTTAAGTGTGAGACTGAGAGATGTGAAGGAAGATCTAGTGTGACACTGAGAGATGTGAAAGAAGCCTGAGTGTTAGAGTAAGAGATGTGAAGGAAGTCTGAGTGTGAGAATGCAGACGTGTCGAAGAACAAATATGGGGAAGAGGCATAGAAGCATAAGGGAGGCTAAAAGTGTGTTGGCAAAGCAGAAGCGTGAAGAAGAAATGAAACGAGGAAAAGTGTGAGAGGGGAAGGAAGTGTGAGCAAGAACGAAGGGTTACAGAAGCAGAGGGGAGGAGAAGAAGCAGAGAGAACGGTAGAATAAGATAATTAACTCGAGAATTCCTAGGCATGACGGTGCAAAATGCGTTCATTAGGCGGGGGGGGGNTTGTCAAGTTTTTTCGTAAGTCAAGTTTTAGACTACTTTGTCAAGGTCAGTACAAAGCTCCGTACCAACTTAGATAGACTCTTTACAAGGGTTTCCAAACAAAAATATAAGATTAGTAGATTCATGTTATTGAAAAAGAACAGCAGCACTTTGTAATTCCTTGTCTGATGTGTTATTATTGTATCACAGAGTCTTCGAGTTTGCCATCGGACGGAGAAGTATGGAAAAAGAGTTGTGAGAAAAAAGGTATTTTTAGCTACAACTACCAATTGTAACAACTTTTTTGGGGAATGAGGGAGAGTCGAGGATTCAATAGTTTGGTCAAACATTTCAAGTTTTAAGTGTAACTGATTTTAAATGTGTTTAGGAAAGCGGATTTGAGTGTATGTGAATAGCTGGGACTGGAGAAGTGGAAAAGTGGATATAGAGAGAAAGGAGAAAATGGCAGTCAGAGGGGGGGGAAGTGAGAAATGGGAAATAGGCAAGGATAGTGAAAGAATGGGGGGGGGGGGTAGAGTGAGAAGAAGAGAAACAGGTAAAAAAAAAATGTACAGGGATGAAAATGAGAAGAGAGGAAATAAAGAGAAAAACAGAAGGAAGTGACTAGCAGTGGAAAGAAATAACAAAGAAATTAGGAATGGAAGAGAAGAGAGAGAGAGAGAGGAAAGAAAAGAAGCAGGGAGGAAGAGAAAAGGAAGTGGGAAAGGTCAGAAGAGAGAGCGAAAGATAAAAATGAGACAGAGGAGGACGAGATGTGGGTGAATGAAAGAGAAGGTGGGGAGTGTAAAGGAAGAAATGGAGAGAGAAGACAGAAATAGAAATGAGGGAAGAGAAAGAAGAGGAATTAGTATCAAGACAAGTTATTTCATACGAGCGAAGTTATTAACAAGTTCAATAAGGCTTCAAAAATAATTTTAAACAATCGACATAAAAACATGTATATCCCCATTACTTACCAACATTGGGATAGGCACAGAATTCCATAACCACATAATGCAACACTTCCAACAGAAATATACACTCACAAATAAAATAGTACGATTAAAAATATGGAAAAATATCAAAAGAGGCATGGTTATTAACAACTTCAGATGCAGTGAGACGGCTATCCACACAATGCAATAACACACAAACGGAAATATAATATTACGTGTTTGTCAAGTTTTCGGAAGCAAAGAACCCACGCAAGCAGTACAAATCTCCCTACCTTAGATAGACTCTTTACCAGGGTTTCCAACAACAAATATAAATTAGTAGATTCTTGTATTAATTTTTTAAAAAGCAGTTAGCACTTTCGTATTCCTTGTCTGATGTGTTATTATTTATCACAGAGTCTCGAGTTGCATCGGACGGAGAAGTATGGAAAAAAGAGTTGTGAGAAAAAAGGTATTTTTAGCTACAACTACCAATTGTAACAACTTTTTTGGCGAATGAGGGAGAGTCGAGGATTCAATAGTTTGATCAAACATTTCAAGTTTTAAGTGTAACTGATTTTAAGTGTGTTTAGGAAAGCGGATTTGAGTGTATGTGAATAGCTGGGACTAGAGAAGTGGAAAAGTGGATATAGAGAGAGAGGAGAAAATGGCAGTCAGAGGGGGGGAGAAGTGAGAAATGGGAAATAGGCAAGGATAGTGAAAGAATGGGGGAGTAGAGTGAGAAGAAGAGAAACGTAAAAAAATGTACAGGGATGAAAATGAGAGAGGAAATAAAGAGAAGAGAAAAACAGAAGGAAGTGACCAGCAGTGGAAAGAAATAAAGAAATTAGGAATGGAAGAGAAGAGAGAGAGAAGAGGAAAGAAAAGAGGCAGGGAGGAAGAGATAAAGGAAGTGGGAGAGGTCAGAAGAGAGTGCGAAAGATGAAAATGAGACAGAGGAGGACGGGATGTGGGAGAATGAAAGAGAAGGGGGGGGGGGTTAAATGAAGAAATGGAGAGAGAAGACAAATAGAAATGAGGGAAGAGAAAGGAGAGGAATTAGAGCGAACGAAAGGGTTGAAATAGAGGGATTTTTTTTTTTTTTTTTTTTTTTTTTTTAATGAGAAGGGAAAGAGAGGGGGGATGAAAGAGGAGAGAGGGAGAAGGAGAAAGAGGAGAGAGTCAGGGGAAAAAGGGAATAGGGAGAGAGAGAGAGAGAAGAGAAGAAACAGAAGAGAAAGATAACTAGCCTGACGAAAAAAATCATGATAAAGACAACGAAGGGGAATGTAAAGAAAATGAGCAAAGGAACAGAGAGCCAGAGTAAGAGTGAATGCATGAGAAAACTCTCAAGAAAGAGAATAAAGACTGGGAATGAGATAGGAGGGAGGGAATGGAGCAGGAAAGATTTAACGTAACAGATTTAAGCATTTTATTGCTATTTGTTAATCATCTGCTAGTGCTAGTTCATATGGATTGACAATATAGGTCTAGTTTATGTAGAACACATATGAGTGAAATAATGTACTATGTCGTATTTTGTATATTAACATACCTGTCGTAAAGTAAGCGGTCTATGTTACTTTATATTTATTTAGTCAAAAGTCAGCATTATCTGGATGTCTCATATTTCGTTAATTTATTTTTTCGTCTCATAAACATCGTAAATCTCCTATGCCCTGCCCTGTATCTAAAATAGCATAGTGTACCCAAATTCAAACTACGTGAAAAAAAAAATCACAACCATTTCGAAAATTTATGTCGTTACTTATCCTTTCAAAAATATGGTGCCAAACCGAAATGTATTTGTTAATATTCCACTGTCAAGATATGGGCTTTAATCTGATTCCTCTTTTCACTACAAAGTTATCATTGTAGAGATGAAAAACTGTCTATTTGTTAACATCCGGAATGTTGATTTGTGTTAGAGAGAGAGAGAGAGAGAGAGAGAGAGAGAGAGAGAGAGAGAGAGAGAGAGAGAGAGAGAGAGAGAAGAGAGAGAGAGAGGGAGAGGGAGAGGGAGAGGGAGGGAGTAGTGGGAATGGGAAAGAGAGGATGGAGGAAAATGGAGAGTGAGTTTGAGAAGGGAAAGAGAGTGCTGGGGAGGAAGGAAAGATAGAGAGAGAAAGAGGGGGAGGAAATAGAGAGAAAGGGAAAGGGCGGGGGATGGGGAGG